GTTCCGGAAGAGGGTTCCGTCTTCTCAAGGCTGCATCGACGACACCGCCATGTGGTACATGTAAGCAATGTTAAGTTCCCAAATGAGAAGAAGATATACAAAAACGGAACCAACAGGCAATCTGACGAACATGAAATCCGTTCAGCTTCATATCATACGAAGATAAAGAATATTTCCTTGTTTCGATATATTTTCTTCTAGCACAGCCAATAGACGATTAGGGTGTGACGTTTTGCACCCTCACCAGACAAATGACCAGTGTGGAAGGTACTAGCATTGACGTAAGTGTTCTACGAGATTGTAAGAATTTTTTTGGATTGCAGTATAATTCTGTGTACACTATGGTTAAAGATAGTGGGACTCGATGGAATACAGATTATAAGCCGAAGTAATCCACAAAATTGTTACAATTTAACATTACTGTAGTCAATTTGGATACGCTTTGTTTAACACTTGGTCATAGATGTGCGAGAGACTTTGGCCACAAAATAGTTGACAGGAAAAACAATTTTTCATGAGGCTGGTTATGGAAGCTATCTGAATATGCCGCAGCGAGCCAATACTAAACAGGGAGAGAGGAGCTCAGTAGTTATAAACAACTAAATATCGAATCTATTTGTATATATCAGCTGTACTTTTTCTTCTGTTTTTCTCTTACAAGACTCCTAACAATTTTGTGCCTCAGTCTATCCCTTTGTGCCAAGCGTCCGACCAGGCTAGGAATGATATTGGTTATGTTCCCTTACCGTGACTGAATGTCATTTAATACGTTGTTATAGATATTATTTGATCAGATTTGGTGCCGTGCGGTGTTCAGATAATGGCAATTCAGTGTGATTACACTGTAAATGCGTCTGTGAGAGGTCCTACTCATCCGTAAAACAGCAACCAAACAAACAAACCAAACGTAAAACCATCCAAAGCCAAATCCTTTCTCTAACACAAAGTATATAAAAGAGAATATTTCCTAATCTTCAATCACACGTTGTAGCTGTTGTTGTCGTTGTTGTTGTTGCTGCTGTTGTTGTTGTTGTGTTGTTGTTGTCGCTGTTGTTGTTGCTGCTGTTGTTGTTGTTGTGTTGTTGTTGTCGTTGTTGTTGTTGCTGCTGTTGTTGTAGCTGTTGTTGTCGTTGTTGTTGTTGCTGCTGTTGTTGTTGTATTTGTTGTTGTTGTCGTTGTTGCTTCTGTTGTTGTTGTTGTATTGTTGTTGTTGTTGTTGTGTTGTCGTTGTTGTTGTTGTGTTGTTGTTGTCGTTGTTGTTGTTGCTGCTGCTGTTGTTGTTGTTGTCGTTGTTGTTGTTGCTTCTGTTGTTGTTGTTGTACTTGTTGTTGTACGTCTTGGAGTCATCATTGTTGTTGTATTGTTGTTGTTGTTGTGTTGTTGTTGTTGCTTCTGTTGTTGTTGTTGTACATGTTGTCGTTGTACGTCTTGGAGTCATCATTGATGTTGTTGTATTGTTGTTGTTGTTGTGTTGTCGTTGTTGTGTTGTTGTGTTGTTGTTGTTGTTGTTTAACTTGTTGTTGTACGTCTTGGAGTCATCATTGATGTTGTTGTTGTTGTCGTTGTTGTTTTGGCGTTGTTGTTTTGTTGTTGTTGCTGTTGTTGCTGTTGTTGTGTTGTTTTGGTGTTGTCGTTGTTGTCGTTGTTGTTATTGTACATGTTGTTATTGTACATGCTGTTGTCGTTGTTGTACGTCTTTGAGTCATCATTGTTGTTGTCGTTGTTGTTTTGTTGTTGTTGCTGTTGTTGCCGTTGATGTGTTGTTTTGTTGTTTTCGTTGTTGTCGTTGTTGTTGTATTGTTGTTGTTGTTGCTTCTATTGTTGTCGTTGTTGTTGTACATGTTGTTGTTGTACATGTTGTTGTCGTTGTTGTACGTCTTTGAGTCATCATTGTTGTTGCTGTTGTTGTCGTTGTTGTACTTTTTGTTGTTGTTGTACGTCTTGGAGTCATCATTGTTGTTGTATTGTTGTTGTTGTTGTTGCTTCTGTTGTTGTTGTTGTTGTTGTTGTTGTTGTAATTGTTGTTGTCGTTGTACGTCTTTGAGTCATCATTGATGTTGTTGTATTGTTGTTGTTGTTGTGTTGTTGTTGTTGTTGTTGTTGTTGTTGCTTCTGTTGTTGTTGTTGTTGTTGTTGTACGTCATTGTTTTGTATTGTCATCATTGTTGTTGTTGTTGTTGTTGTTGTTGTACTTTTTGTTGTTGTTGTACGTCTTGGAGTCATCATTGTTGTTGTATTGTTGTTGTTGTTGTTGCTTCTGTTGTTGTTGTTGTTGTACTTTTTGTTGTTGTTGTACGTCTTGGAGTCATCATTGTTGTTGTATTGTTGTTGTTGTTGTTGCTTCTGTTGTTGTTGTTGTTGTTGTTGTCGTTGTACGTCTTGGAGTCATCATTGATGTTGTTGTATTGTTGTTGTTGTTGTGTTGTTGTTGCTTCTGTTGTTGTTGTTGTTGTTTCTGTTGTTGTTGTTGTACTTGTTGTTGTTGTTGTACGTCTTGGAGTCATCATTGTTGTTGTATTGTTGTTGTTGTTGTTGTTGTTGTGTTGTTGTTGTTGCTTCTGTTGTTGTTGTTGTTGTTGTTGTTGTTGTTGTTGTTGTTGTTGTTGTTGTTGTACATGTTGTCGTTGTACGTCTTAGAGTCATCATTGATGTTGTTGTATTGTTGTTGATGTGTTGTTGTTGTTGTGTTGTTGTTGTTTAACTTGTTGTTGTACGTCTTGGAGTCATCATTGATGTTGTTGTTGTCGTTGTTGTTTTGTTGTTGTTGCTGTTGTTGCCGTTGATGTGTTGTTTTGTTGTTTTCGTTGTTGTCGTTGTTGTTGTGTTGTTGTTGTTGTTGCTTCTATTGTTGTCGTTGTTGTTGTACATGTTGTTGTCGTTGTTGTACGTCTTTGAGTCATCATTGTTGTTGCTGTTATTGTCGTTGTTGTACTTGTTGTTGTTGGTGTTGTTGTTGTTGTTGTTGTTGTTGTTGTTGTTGTTGTTGTTGTTGTTGTTGTTGTTGTTGTTGTTGTTGTTGTTGTTGTTGTTGTTGTTGTTGTTGTTGTTGTTGTTGTTGTTGTTGTTGTTGTTGTTGTTGTTGTTGTTGTTGTTGTTGTTGTTGTTGTTGTTGAATGAGTATGGCATTATTGCATTTGTATCTATTTCTATTTCTTGTTATTCATTTTGTTGATAGAAGTGTTTATGTATATTTTGTAACCATCTAAGTTTTAACGATCGAAATAAGGCGATGAACGAACTTGTCGCAATCCTGCGACTTTTCTGTCGCTTTTTTATATATCACAACCAAGCTATTTATTGTAAACAATAACCCTTAACTGCAGACGGCGCGGTACTTCAGAGTTCCAATGTTCTTGGATTGTGTCAAGAAGAGATTAAAACACCCACTACAAAATATCTGTACACAGAAACGTGTAAAATCGATATTTGTTGTGCGTGAAAACCTGGGTTTATAACCAGAGAAGTTGCCAGAACATTGCCGATAAAACTCTATAATTATAAATAGCTAGATTTGATTTTTTTTTCTTTGGACAATGTCAACAACAATCCTTGTGCTTTATTTGTCATCCAGATCAGGAATTCTAGTGACGTTGTCTGAATCATAGCTATATGTATTCTTTAATTAAACGTTTGCATCAAGATTGAAGAAAAAAATAAAAGGAATGATACAGATGGTAAATGGGAGGGTGATGGGGACATCTATATCACGTCGTGTTTTTCAGTATCAATATGAATGGTTTTACATGTACGTGTAGACTGATCAGAAAGAGCCTTGGTAATGTTTATAAATAGCATTCAATATCAGATTGTCCTTTCTCTGTTTGCATCCATTTACCTAACAATACACCATGTCCTATGTTTGTGCGAATTCATGATCCGTTGCTGCTGGACATCAAGATCGACAGAGTAGTCTCCCTTGCCTGAGCTTTTCATATCAACTATGTGTCAAACTTTGTGGTAGAAATCAACCAAATATATATATATAAACACAAAGCGATAAGTAAAGAATAATGTTATAATTTATCGAGCCCAATAAGCTACAGAAATAGAATACACTAATTAATTATAGATGTTAAGGAATTAAATACATACTCGATATAACTTAAGGAAATGTTTTTATTTTTGTGAAGCGCTACTAAAGATATTAAGATTGTAAGGGAGGTAAATCTTGTTGCTCTACTCGACATTCTGCCACTAAACAATGATGGCATCAGGCACCAAAATATGTAGTTTCTGATAGTCATATTTCAGTAGTGTATATCAACGAAACGAAAACCAAACACGGACAAAAAATAGCAAGTACAGTTTTCAGTTTCTTAAACAGAAATTAAACTGTTTTTTATAATCATAAAAATGTATTTATGAAAAAAAAATAGAAAACTGTGGTTTCAAGTATGTGTATAGATACGTACACGTATTTATTCATTTACATTTGTTTATTTATATACGTCCCTGATCTAGATGAACGTGATTTGAAATCCCCTCTAACCCTTCGGGTCAAATGACCTAAAATTGAAACCATTTCATTTAATGTCTTATTATTAATCCTGTGTTACAGGAGTTGTACTTACCGATTACTAAAGTATCACATAAGTTGTACTTACCAGCTATTAAAGTATCACAGGATTTGTACTTACCAGCTACTAAAGTATCACATGAGTTGTACTTACCAGCTACTAAAGTATCACAGGAGTTGTACTTACCAGCTACTAAAGTATCACATAAGTTGTACTTACCAGCTATTAAAGTATCACAGGATTTGTACTTACCAGCTACTAAAGTATTACAGGAGTTGTACTTACCAGCTACTAAAGTATCACATGAGTTGTACTTACCAGCTACTAAAGTATCACAGGAGTTGTACTTACCAGCTACTAAAGTATCACATGAGTTGTACTTACCAGCTACTAAAGTATCACAGGAGTTGTACTTACCAGCTACTAAAGTATCACAGGATTTGTACTTACCAGCTACTAAAGTATCACAGGAGTTGTACTTACCAGCTACTAAAGTATCACAGGAGTTGAGTTGAGCATACATAGGAAGTTTGCTTGTAACACACGTTGTCCAGAGTCCATCCATGGCCTCGACTGCAACCATGGTAACGTTGTCTGAAATAATAAAAGAAAATCAGAATTTTAACAACAACAAAGATGATACAACATACGGAAGTAAAAATAAATACACACCGCTTCACATATCTTGATATTTTTGTAAACGGTTGTTTTAACGTGAATAGAGGGTTAAAACTATGGTTTCTGTTTCATTTTGATTTTTTAAAAATAAGTTTAACAGAATTTCTATTATAATGAGCCTTCGATGGAAAATATATGATGAGTTTAACAAACATTGTTTGTAGGAAATTCCAGATTAAAATTTTCAGGACGCTCTTTCAATGAATAAATACATTTGGTAAAAAATATCATTGATTAAACAGACACATTTTGATATAATGATCGAAATGTAGATATAACTATTGAATGGTATTCATAGTCAATATAAATGCAATTTGGATGACAGGTGGATAATCATGACGTCCTACCTAACGGACGACTTTGGTATTTACCCAGAGTGAATTCATATTGATAATGAATACAATTTGAAGATGGTTAAATGATACGGATAAATAATAGCTCATTTAACGAACTACATTAGTTCATCAGTGTTTGAATGTTATAGACGTATCACCAATACTTGGTAGAAACGTCACACCTCAGATTACAATGTTTCAACATTTTGGCAAATTGTACCCATCTGACTTACTCAACATACATTGAAAACGATTGCAAATTTTCACAGAACGACAAGACATAAATAAATAGACAGTGCACTTTTAATAAACAATGGAAATTTATACATATTTTAATAATTGAAATTAAGATAGAATATTTACATATGCGTTAATTACGTTATTGTTTCAAGCGGATTTACATTGTTGTAAGTATTTTGTAAAGGTGTTCGCGCATCCCTTTAACATTATAGAAACCAAGGTTGCCTTGGAAGACCTTCACCTGCTGAAAGCTTAAAGAGGTGCAAATAAGATTATCAAAACATGCTTCTTGGTGACAGATATTGTCTGAGAAAAAAACTATACCATACCACTAGTATTGTTTTGTTTATTTGTTTCTTTTGTTTGTTTGTTTGTTTGTTTGCAGTCTGCTTTTCATTGTTTCGTTTTTAAGACAGCCACTAGGGAAAGTATTAAAATGCGAAACGTGAGGCAAGGGAGACAACTCTTATAAATAACAGATTTCACAGAAAAAAGTGAGAAAGACAAAATTGAAAAGTGATCAATATCAATAACGTCATAACGCGCGGTTGTCGTGAAAAGCAAACGTTGCGTATACCATTAAAATTACAGTAGAATACTTTCAATTTGACAAACCCTATTCATCTATATTTTTGTTCACCACTGCTCAATAATAATTGTAATGTTACTACTATTTTGAAAATATTTTTGAGTAAAGAATTTCAACGAATTGACGTCAAATTCTAACCATGTAGCCTATATCGGACAAATATATACATTGTAGATATCATACATTGTAGATATAATACATTGTAAATATAATACATTGTATGTATCATACATTGTATATATCATACATTGTAGATATAATACATTGTAGATATAATACATTGTAGATATAATACATTGTATATATAATACATTGTAGATATAATACATTGTAAATATAATACATTGTATATATCATACATTGTAGATATAATACATTGTAAATATAATACATTGTATATATCATACATTGTATATATCATACATTGTAGATATAATACATTGTAGATATAATACATTGTAGATATCATACATTGTAGATATAATACATTGTAGATATCATACATTGTAGATATCATACATTGTAGATATAATACATTGTAGATATAATACATTGTAAATATAATACATATATACATTGTAGATATGATAAATTGTAGATATATTACATTGTAGATATAATACATTGTAGATATCATACATTGTAGATATAATACATTGTAAATATCATACATTGTAGATATAATACATTGTAGATATCATACATTGTATATATAATACATTGTATATATAATACATTGTAAATATCATACATTGTATATATAATACATTGGAAATATCATACATTGTAGATATAATAGATTGTATATATAATACATTGTAGATATAATACATTGTATATATAATACATTGTAAATATCATACATTGTAGATATAATACATTGTAGATAAGATACATTGTAAATATAATACGTTGTAGATATGGTTGTAATTAAATGAAGAGGAATCATGTTCATCACCACTCAAACCGCTCGTTATCCAGTGAATTAGCCGACATAATACTTTAGTATATATGTCACTGGATTAGCTGTACCAGTCAGAAGTCAGATTATTGTCATCACATAAACATAAAATAGAATGAGGAAGATTTTACCGATATTGCCAGAGCAAATAGAATGTGTAGATTATGTAATACATTGTTATCATGATTTTCATATTTGCGTATTAGATATTAGAAATCGTATTATGTGCGTATCACCTATCGCATCTTAATTTATCCATTTATCAATTATCAATACTGTTACAGACTTAGGTAATCTTGGGAAAAAAAATTAATGATGTATTTAAACTATGTTCAGAAGCACTATGAAATGATTTTCATTTTTAATAACTATTTTCTCAGTATAGAACACTATTAGTGTTTTCTCACTGTCCTGTCCAACATGATATGTACGTTATTGACGATGTACTTGGTTAAGCTGAGTGAGTGAATGTGTGAGTGAGTGAGTGAATGTGTGTAAATGTGCTGGTATATCGGAGTGTGCAACAGTGCGCTTTTTGAGTGCACGAGCGTGCAGTGACAAATGTGTAAGAACGAGTGCAAGTAAGAAAGAATATATTACATTACATCATTATGTTAACCTTGAATCTTATAACCCTAAGGCTTTCAGAATATATTGTGACGTTTAATATGGACCATAACGTTACGTCATGACACAACAAGATGACTGTCGTCCATGTTTTTAACACACACCTGTCAAAATGTTACTTATATGATAAAAAGTATACCATGTTTATTTTTATTTCAGGCGAAACTCGCCATGATAAAACCATTCCATTTTCTCAGAAATCGCTGCGGATTGAAGAACATCTTTGATTTTCTTAAATATATACATTTCGGGTTAAAAAGGTCACTGCTCTATATATCCTAAATTCGCAAGCTAAACATGAAGGTTGGTTCTCAGAAAAAGGTCTGTCATAACTATACCCCTTAATAATCAATTTCATTTTCAATTAAATCTGTCAAAACTTTTATGAATTTTTTCACACATTTTTTTTCTGAATTTTGAAAGCTATCAGTGTCAACTTCGTCCCACGCCCGCCAAAATGTATTTGGAAGTAGTTCTTACTGTGTAGATAGCCAGTGTGTTTTGTTGATCTCACGAGATATACTGTACACAAGCTTCGTTACCGTTGACCTATATGCATGACCAATGGTCAAAAATTATAACCCGATGTAGAACTTGATGATGTGATGACACAATGTAAATACGAACTACATTGATCGAGAGGTTCTTGAAACATTTTTACAAGGAAACATTTCCGACAGTCTTAAACCATTCATAAGTCAAGGCGTAATGGAAGCATTTCCTGTGAGTAAAGTTTATATATATATATATATATCAAGCACGTGCGTGTGTACACGAACAAAAAAAAAATTATTCTTGCAATATTCTATTGATTTTGAATATTATGGTTTTTCATATGTATTTAATTGTCATGTAGAGTACGTTGTATTTTTGGGTGAATTTGTTGTGGGATATGTCGAAAATAGTTGTTACGGTCAGGTCTAACGTCATATGTGCGAGGCAGCACGCAACAACTTCGTAATAAGATAGAAAAAAAAAGAAATATATTGATCAATTTCTGCTAGCGCTAGCTCTGTGTATGTGAGTGATGAACAACATAACCTTTATGTAATTAATCCGTGTGCAATAACTCACGTGCATGAACTTTATATGAGCACGTGTATGAATGTACTTTGCCTGAGGGAACACTACTACTACGTTTAAAATTTACAAGTCACAATTAATTTGTACCGAAATGTAGTAACCTTTCCTGTATATGAATTAAACATTTTAAATGTGTATGTATGTATACACTTTATCTGTACATGTATGTAGAAATTTAAAATGTACGTGTATAGTTAAGGTCATTATTTTCCGCTAAGATTCGAACCCCGTACCCCTAGCTTATTAGCCTAATGCTCAACCGATCGAGCAATATCGAAGTTTTCCTGAATCGAGCGGTATAATTTGGCTAGTATTTTGCCAGGGTTACATACTTACCCTCCAGAAAATAACTCTTCCTCGAGTTTTCAGGACTTACAGAGATACTAAAGTATCGCTAATTATTCCTGAGTCTCTACATGGGCGCCAATATAACAGAGTTCATTATTCATTTCAATGCCTCCGCGCGAACCCGGGACACTGACTTACCAGTCTGGCGCTCAACTGATCGAGCTTAAGAGAAGTTCTCCATAACCGAGCGGTATGTTGTGGCTAGTATTTTACCAGGATTACACATGTATGAGGAGGTACCTTTACCCGTAATTATGATATTTACCAATAAACTTTACCTAGGATATTGTAACAAGGTAAATTTTATTACAGCACTGTTAACCTTATTGTGATAAACACGGAATTGATTACAATAAAAACAATCTTAATGATTATGACAATTAACACAAAGGGTCACAACAATGTAACATGGACAGAACTACAATCGAATCTAATAGTTCCGTGCATAGCGTACAAGACATAAGTGAATTCAAATGTTATCAATACGAAAAGATGATAAATAACATTTCCCTGGTCAAATCCGCTGTCTATCTGCTGCTCAAGTGATGTTGGAGAAGGAAACTATTCATTTCAAAGTACCATTAAACAGTATTTATGAAATTATGTAGGAGCAGACACTAATCTAGACTTGTCCACAGAAATTCAATGCCAATTTCTTAATATTGAATAAACCTATCAAGTATGTATTTGTGAGATGATACCATAATAAGATTCGCAGAAATGGAGGAAAGTT